GCAGCACAGGGCTGACGTGGTGCTGCACCTGATGACCTTCAGCCCTGTCTTTTGGGATCACAGCAGGGCTCAGAGCCGCGCTCCCTGAGCCCAGGGGCTGCAGCTGGCGCTGGGGGGTCCCAGGTTGGCAGCTGGGGGAGGCAGGGCCCTGTGCACCTCTGCCTGTTCAGCCTGTTCTTCTGGTGCAGGACCAGCCATTTGTCTGGCCCCACTGTGAACCTGGTGGCTGCATCAACTGCACAGAAGACAAGACAGAAACACGATAGTTGCCATGTGTAAATAAGTCAGCATTGGCATGCCTTGCCAGAAGAGGTGGATAACTCACAGATCTGTCTTGCTCAGAAGTCCATGGAAGTGCTTTCATCCAACAGCAATTTGGGGATGTGAGTAGCTAACTCCTGCTGTTTGCAATCAGGAAAAATGTTCCATCCAATTATACTAAAATTATGCTTGAAGATACAATTTTATCACTTTCTTTTTCTCTTGAGTTGCTGTGAAATAATGGAGTATTTGGCAATAAAAAACAGCAAAAACAAAGTAATGCCTTCGACACTGAATATGTGCTAAATAATTCACGGAGGCTTTACTCTCTTGAAATCATTCTGAGTTACCCAACATCTTGAAAACCTGTTTGTCATTTACAGTGTGTTTGCTGTGGTTCATCAGAGGGCTTTTCTGCGTGCTGCTGCAGCTGTGAGGGAATGCAGGAGTTTGCCTTCTCTGGTCTTCTCCTGAGCACTGTTGTTCTGGGGCCTGTTTTTGTCCAGGGATTTTCATAAGCCTTTTCCACTATGGTCAGTGCTGCTCAGGCTTTTTACACTTTGTGGGGATTGGGAAGAAGTGTCTGTGGTTGATCCTGATGCATTTCAATTTCTGTTGTGCTCTGAAGAGGTTGAGAATGTTGGGATCTGGACTGTGGTAAAACGATTGAGGCTTTGTTGGAGTTCAAGTGAAGACAGTAAGAGAGAAGGCTCTTCCAGGCAGTTCTGTACCCTCTGTCTCCTGCAGGACCATGGGGCAGGTGGACGAAGGGCTGGGCAGGAGTCCCAGCACGCAGTCCTTGCAGTGCCACACAGTGCCTGGCCTTGGCCCAGGTCTTTGAATGAACCTGAGGGGTGGGCTCTGGCTGGTATGCTGTTTATGACCCTACTTTCCCCTTTAATTTATTAAGAAGTTCCAAAAATGTGTGTGTTTTGCCTTTCTGTATCTTCACAACCTGCCCTCAGGTGGCTGGCAAGCCAGTTGGACAACCAATGTGGGAATGTGATGATTTCTATTTATAAAGTTTTGGCTTCTTCGTCTTCTGAGCTGAAAGTTGAAAAACTCGTTCGTGGCTGTTTTGAGCATTTCTGACTATGAATCACAAGGAAATTGCATAATGCTGCAGCGCTTCCTTCTATTGCTCCTGGCTTTATGAGCACCGCTCCTCCGGGGAGGCTGGGGAAGTACCTGCTAGTCTGAATGCGCTGGAGGAGCAGGTCCAGCACGAGGACTGCGTGGATCCTGCCATCGTTCCGACCACCTTCCTGCCAGGTGGTTGGAGTGGTGGGATCGTGCTTCCCTGGAGATGGACATCCCTCCATCTGTGGGGGCAGAGCAGGGCTGCTGGCGTTGCTGTGAGTGGAGGCTTTCTGTCAACCGCTGCTGCCTTCGCCTCACAGGGGCAGGTGGTTTGTTGCTCTGGTTTTTGGCTATCTGGGCAAAATCTGGTACTGATACTCAAAGCTGGCAGATGTCAGGAGCTGTGCAGAGCTTTGTGCAGCCTGCAAGGGTTAAGGCTTTGTTTGGGCCGTTTTGATTTTTAAGTAAAAACCTCTTCTGTTTATGGAATGCAGTTGTTTTCTGCAAGGCTGTGTGCAAACATGCAATGGCCATGTGAGAGCACAGTTAATTTATGGTGGAGCTTGGTGGACTTCGTAGCCAAACCAGTGTGAAACCTGAAATGAGGAAATAAACATAAAATTACTCAACACCTCCTTTTCTTAGTTCCCCTTCCAAACCCCAACTTGCTTCTTTTTTCCTTTCCTTTACCCACAATCCAGCTTCACCCCAAGCAGCCCACAGGCAGGCAGTTGAGTGAGCACAGAGCCAACAGCTCACATGTGTGCCATTTACATAGGAGCAGGTTGTAAAAACTGGTAAACTCGATTCTTGTTGATTTCCTTGTGTGCAAGCAGAGGCTGGTATCAGGCTGCACATGGTGACTGCAGGAGAATTTTAGGGTATGAATGGTGGATCTTAGAGGATTTTTGATAAAGAATATCTACAATTTAGCCTTTTTTTTTATTAGCTACAGCTGCAAGGTAGGTGGGGTGTGGTGGAATTGTAGGGGATGGTGCAGGTGGAACATGCACAGCTTGTAACTTGGTTTGTGCCAGCAATCGATGCGGACTTGGGCATGGCAAATAGCAAGAACCTCTTTAGAATTCGGCACCATTTCGCTGGGCAGCTGAGATGTGTGAGGCAGGATCTTAGGATCTTGTGCTGTAGGCCCTGTGTATTACCAAGGCTGTTCTGGAAGCGTGGAGTGTTGATGCCTATGGAATCAATTGGGGCTGAATGAACTTTGCCATGCCGAGGCCCTGAGCTGGTACCTGCTGGCCACCCCTTGGAAACTCTTGTCCCAAAAATCTCTTTCTTCAGAAGGCTTTCGGTGGTACAGCAAAAGGGTTTCTTTTACAAAGTAGTGTTTGTTTTGGAAAAGGGGAGGGTATTGCAGAATCGGGGCTTAAAACCTTGATGTTGTAGAATGGTGTTAATGCATTGCCACTGATGTGGATAAAAGGTTTGTCCTGAGCAAGATAGGTGTAGGAGGACAGCATCTCCTTGTTTTATGGTTGCGTGGTTGACTCTGGATGAAATTTCCCTTATAGAACGTGCATGCTTTGCAATTAATGGCACAAGTGTGTTGTGTTTCCTTGTCTGTCCTTTCCCTTTTTGTAAAGAACAGTCTGATGATTAATAACCTCTTTGTGGTTTTGCTTAACCAAACTGGAAGAACAAATATGCAGGCAGACACATTTCCCCCTGGAGCTGTGGTGCTGTGTGCCATCACTTGGAGCTGCAGGAGCAGCCCCAGAGAGCTGGGCAGTGCAGGCAGAGCGCAGGACAGCAGGCACTGAAGCTGATGGGATCCCAAGGACAGGAGCTGGCGTTCACTGTGCAGGAGGTGGCTGGGCTTGGACCACAGCCCTGGGCACAGCAGGATGCTGGTGTCCAGCTCGTCTGGGATGGATATGGCAACCTGCTGATGGAGCATAACGCCTGACTTGCCCTTCTGTTCTATGCAGTGCTCAGCTGTAAGCCTGGGCTCCTGTGGGTGAGCTGCAGCAGGGGAGCTTGTAGTGTGAGTGCTGACCTGCGGAGGGGTCTCACGCCCTGCAAGCCCCCGCTGGGTGGGACTGCTCCCAGCCCGTGTCTGTGCTCCCTTCAGCAAGTCTCCAGTGGTGAGACTGAGGCTGGAGAGGAATGCATCTTACTGGAGAGCTGCCCTCGTGGCCACGGCTACAAGGCGGCCCCACGGGTGGAAAGCCTGCTGTGTGCTTCCTTCCCTCTTTTCACTTATTTTATTTTCTTGATACAAATGCTGTTCCTGGAGGAAAACTCGCTTGCTGACTCTGGCTGTTTTTGCTGCTGAATCATCCCCCAGCTTCCAGATGTGGGATGATGGCCTTTCTTCTGCAAACAAAAACCCCACTTCTCCTTGTACTGCACAGACCCATCCCCTGGGGGGCAGCTGGGGAAGGTGCTCCTTGGGAATGCTGCAGGAATGTTGCAGGTTTTGGAGCCTGGGAAACACCTGGGCTGCAGCACCCAGGAGCTGCTTGTGGATCTCTGCATCCTTGGGGTTAATGTCACTAATTGGGAGCCCTGGCTGGAGCATGTCGTGAGCTGCATGATGGTGGCTCAGGGCCTCATTGCCACCCTGCTCTCCCGGATGCTCTGCTCATTGCTGTGCTGTGCGTTGCTATCAACAGTGCTGTTGGAAACTTTCCTTCCCCACCTGCTATTTCTGGATGCAGCATGTGGTTAAATCAGAGCACCAGGCCCTTGGAAGAGGGCTCCCAGCTTTGTTCCCTGCGAGAGGAAGGGTGTGCACGCCGATGGCTTTGTTTAGCAGCCTACACAGGCATTTCTTCCTGTTACAGTGGATGCTGCCATGCTCAGCTCCACCTTGTGATGCTGACGGAGTGCTGCGTGTGTGTTTTAGTTTGGGCTCTGGGTTGGTGAAGGACTTTTGTTGTTTTTTTCTTTAACCGTCTTCATCTGTTGAGGTTGAGAAGCACAACCTGTTTGAAGGCTGACCTCCTCAGCCACGCTTTTCATTATGCTGGGCTTTTAAACCATGCTTAAACTGTGATTAACGCCCTCCGTTGACATTTTCCCGTTTGCTTCTGTCCAGTAAAGCACTGCTTTTATCTGAAGTAGCCTGGCTGTAATGTACTCAGGACAGGTGGATGAGGGGCAGCTTTCACACATAGGGTGCCATCACAGTGCTGGCTGAGGGCGGCTCATCCTGCTGCAGTTCAGCTGCTCTGTGAATTCATGATGTTTCCTTTCTCTTTGCCTGACTCATCTACTCACTTGTAGGTACACGTGAGTGGGGACGGCTCCCAGATTCTGTGATTCTGATTCCCTGCTCCTTGCCCAGCATGCACCCCCCAGGTGCTACTGCAGTGCCCATAACATATAAGGGGAATCATTGGCTTTACTCTAAGGTTATGTCCTTTATAACAGAAGACTTCAGAAGAGCAGAATGCCCACCTCTGTTGTGTTTCAAAGCCCATGAAGTTTTCATTCCCACCCAGCCGGTGCCATTTGTCCACAGTTCTTTTTGGAAAGCGTTCTGGTTGTTGGTACAGCTCTGGCTGCTGCAGTGTGCCGTCCTGAGGGGTACAGCTCTGTGCTGGCCTGGGGGTCTGGCTGGGGGGGCGCTGAGGCCAGGCTGCTTCCCAGCTGCAGCCAGCATCTTCATGAGACTTTCTTCTTGTGTTTTCCAGGTCTACAACTCGAACAAGGACAATCAAAGCGAAGGCAGTAAGTATATATATATATATATATATATATATGTGTGTATTTCTTTAAGCAAACCCTTGAGAAATGAACGGGCTCCTCCATTTGCTGCAGCAGGGGTGCTGGTGGCATCCTGCAGTCAGTAGCAGCTTGCTTGGCAGAACCAGAGCCTGGAGGATGAGCTTGCTTTTTCCAGGGGGAAAGTGGAACACAAATGTAAAGACTGTGGAGTTCTTACCTGATTGAAATTGTCAACAGCACCCCTTCAAAAACAAACAAAAAAATTCAACAAAAAACTTGGCTATTTTTAACTGTGCTTCATGCAATCAAAGACCTGAGTCAAGACAGCACTTGTTTCTCCTCCTAGACAAGTAGTTGTACCTGGTCCTGGCTCTCGGGTCCTTTGTTTCAAAGCTCTTCATTGAGCCACTTCCCAGTAGGTCTGAATTTGCCATAATTGCAACATTCAGAACTGATCCCTTCTCTCCTTCCCCCAAAGTCATTGGTCATGCAAGAGCCTGACCCACACCGATAGTAAATTGTTTGCTTTTGTGCTGCCTCAGTCAGGGCATTTTTCTCACCATAATAGGTATAATTTGCAATTAATTTTCCTCACGCCCATTTTCAGCCCTTGCATGGAACAGTCGCTTCCTCACTTCTGCTCTCTGTCCGTGTTGGTCTTCCATGTTGTCGTTTTGGTTTTGTGCAGCCCAGGTGATGCTCGGGGGGTTGATCACTGGGCTTCACACCCATGGGCACAGAGTGCCCTCACTGAATGTGGAGTCTGTGTAGCGCACTTCAATGTGTTCTGTTTTACAGAGGATCAAAATATGGTTCCTAGGGACAGAGAACAGGACTTGCTCAATTCTGTCCTAATCTGGCCATTAATTGTCACTGCTCTGTTCCCTACACACAACCCCTGGCTGTGCCAGGACAGTATGTGCCGATTTGGCTCAAGGAGCTGTGTTAAAAAACCATTTTCTGAACTTTATGGAGGGGTGATGCAAAAGCAGGGAAACGTTTGGGATGGGGGCGGGGAGGGAGGAGGAGCAGTGAAGCAATCCCTGCTTCTGAAAGAAGTGCTTGTCAGGCTGTGGCCTTCCCATCTTACGTGCTGTCAGCCGGCAGTCCTTGTGGGGCTGGTAGTTGCGCTGCAGTCATCCTGCAGAGCAGCGCTTTTGGCGATGGGAAGAGCACGAGTCAGATGTGTTCATGGCTTTCCCAAGGTCATTCGTGTTGTCTAATCCAGGATTGCAGCTGCCAGGCTTGCGGCAGGCGCCATGTAGAGGCTCCTGAATGCTCACCTAGGGTTTCTTTGGGAAAGGGCTGCCTGAGGTTCTCCTGCCCAGGGTGGGACCTGGGGTATGCTGGGGGCTTTGAGCATTTCACCGGCTCATCTGGCTGCAGGCGGCCTCCCTGGGCCAGCTCCCAGCCCCCAGCAGCTCTGGGAAGTTGTGTGTACGGCTCTGGTGGTCATGCAGCCCACGCTGCTGTCGTGCTGTGCTCTGAGGCTGTTCAGCATTTGGCAAAGGCTTGGGAGGCTCAGACAAAGACCGAATGCCAAGTTTCTCCCTGCTCGCCTTCACCAAACAAATACTGGGGTTTAATCAGCCCAGGGGGCTGTGGCAAAGCTGCTCATCTTTCAGTATCTTGTCCGTGGTGACTGTCCATCTGAAAAATGAGAACATCTCCGTGTCTCTGCTCTGCAGACCCAACCACAGTGCAGCTTTGTGGTGAGTTGGGACCCCAGGGTTAGGGCTGCTCCTGCACAGCCCGGTGGCCATAATTTCACACGTGCCTATGACCAAACTGCTGCTTGCTGTGCTCTGACACCTGGCTGTGCTTTAGCACATTAGAACCATGTCTGCAGCAGGCTGCTGGCCTCACCAGCCCCACTTCAAATTGATTTGGAGGCTGGCTCTGTGCCACGGAGCCCTTGTTACAGGAACTTCCTATAAGGACTTGAAATGACTGTAATGATTGAATGGAGTCCGGATGCCGTGCCTGACCCTGAAAACCTATATAACTCTGCTTCCTGCCTTACTTATGCTGGTCTGAAAGAGAATGAGACTGGGAGTTCTATAGTGAGGTCTGCTTTTTGGTCACTATCTAATTTTACAGAGCTTTTGGATTTTACATCCTGCTGTGTGGCCAGATGGCCATCAGCCTGCGGGGTGATTTATCTTAATCTTCTTTGGGAGCTGGGAGGAAGCAATGCAGAGTGCTGGGGGCTGAGTGGGTATCAGTGCACTGCTAGAGCTGGGTGGATTGAGATGTGCTGCTTCTCAAATGAAGGGGACTTGCTCTGCTCTGTGGAAATAATCATAGAATCTTTTGAGTTGGAAGGGACCTTTAAAGGTCATCTAGTCCAACTCCCCTGCAATGAACAGAGACATTATAGCTCAGTCAGGTGCTCAGAGCTTGGTCCATCTTGGCTTTGTATGTCTTCAAGGGACATCCACCATCTCTCTGGAACAACCTGTGCCAGTGCATCACTGCCCTTATTGTAAAAAATATTTTCCTTATGTCCAATCTCAGTCTCTCCTCTTTTGGTTTGAAATCATTTCCCCTTCTCCTATCCCAGCAGACCCTGCTGAAGAGTCTGTCCTCTTCCTCTCCTCACTGCTTTCACCTCCTTTTTTCACATCCACTTGATTCTCCACCTGTTCAGGATGGAAGCACGGCCCTTCCTGGTGGTCCTTGTTCCCCACAGCTTGGCATCTCTGGTGCTTTGAGACAGCTAAGACTGAAAACTCATTTCTCTCTGGTCTGCACTTGGTTTCTTTCTTCCTTGTGGCTTTTAAAACCACAGTGGTGTTTGAAAAAAGTTCATAACGATCGTGATTGTGATGGCACTGTGTTACACGACACAGAATTGCGTAGTGGGGAATGCAGGGGAGCTGGCTTTGGCCTTGCATTGCCTTGGCTGATGCGTACACGTCTGGAGCCAGCAGGGTTACATGTGGCTCAGCAGGGCCGGCTGTGCCTTCGTGCCCCTTCACTGATGCTCTGAGATACCATATCAGCATAAAGTAGAAGAATTAGTGGATTAAATAGAAATAATCTGGTAGGCAAAAATAGGACAGGATGAGACCGGCTCAGTAGCGCTGGGAATACGATGTTACACGAAGGTCAGATAAATATTTGTGTGTGCAACATTGGTAGTACAAATGATATGCATCACCTTTGTATCTCAGCAGTGCTTTGAAATGTTGCTCTGGAACGAAGAGCCTGTGATGTGTATCTTGGGCTGGAGGCTGTGTTTTACGTCTGTCCCCTGGGGAGCCTCCATGGACAGGGAATAACGGGAGGAAGGGTGTAGCTTTGCTTTGTGGGCAGAGTACAGCACTACCCTGCTAATAGAAGGCTGCGGGTCTGCTCCCAGTTATGATGGAGAGGCAGTTTTAAATAGATAGGATGGGGATTAGGGATGCCTGTTGTGAGGAGTGCAGATAGGCTGTGCTTTTCTCTGGTGGGTCTGAGGGTTTGCTCTTCACTGCTGCCTTCCCTCTCTGTGCAGCCCCCAAAGGCAGGATGGTCTGCAGCTCCTTCCTTTCTCAGCACTCCCAGCCTGCAGACATCAAACAGCCCAAGCCCAAAGCTGCCGACCATTCTGCTGCTGGAGTGAGTGGAGCCAGCAAAAGGGTCAGGGCTGCAATGGATACGAATCTGACTTTCATCTGTGCTGCTGCAGTTCGGAATCATTGGGTAAATTAATGAGATAAAGGGAGGCTGCTTCTGTGAGAGGAAAATCAAGCTTTTATGATGCTCATTAAAAGTTAAATTTAAAGATGAATAAAGGCACTTTGGATATTTAATCAGATATTATTTCTGGATATAACTACTGCAAATAAATCCCCGACCTTTCCTGATCCAGAGCTCAGCAACGAGTTGGAGAGCTTATTCATCTACTTGGGAGGATTATGCTCAGTCATTTCCATCCTGAAAAACTGCTCCTGTTTCTCCCCTCTTCTATGGCCGAGCAGCACAGCGAGGTGTGGGCTCAGCCCTTGTTGGCCCTGTGGTGGGGCATGCAGGGAATGGGACTGGTGATTGTGCTCAACCTCAGGCATCCCAGGGGCTCAGGGACACTGCTGCACTGTGGGAATGGTTGGCACTTAGAGCGTGCGAGCCCAAAATGGTGAGCTGTGTTGGCTGGACAGCATTGTACAGGGATGCCAAAAGATCAGGACTGAGTGCTAGGAAGCCCAGGTGGGCCTGTCTGTACAGAAGGGCTTCCACACTGTGCTTTCCTGCTCCTCAGGCACCCCATGCAGTGTTCTGTGGTGATCAGGTGCTGCAGGCAGCTTCCCTCTGATGGGTGCTGCCTTTGTTGGGTCTGTGCCTGCAGGGCGGCTGGGAGCTGTGCTGAGCCCCTGGGTGCTGAGCAGAGCACCCTGGAGCTTTGGGATGTTTGTACATCCTGCAGCACAGGAATCCTCCAGCCTATGTGCTTATGTTGGCTCAGCACTCCACAGTGCTTGCCCAGAAAAGTATAATAGACCTGTTTTACTGTTTCAGGTTTTTGTACCATTCATCATGTAACAACACCGGCAGGGAACTCAAAAGGAGTGATTAGCAAGGGCTGGCCCCATGAGAGGCATAGGCAGCCAGTGGACTGGAAGCCTGTCGTGAACCAAGTGCAAATCTGTGTTTAAATAAACAATTTGAGCAGGGAGAAGAATAGGAATAAAATCACGTGTGCCTTGCTGTGAGGACACTGCCAGCCCTGGGCTCTGCTCTGCTCCTCTTGGCCTCTAGGCAAGGCACGGTGTTGTCTCTTCCAGCACAACAGTTCCTCATGCCTGTGCAGAAGTGAAGTCCTCTGCTTTTAAGATAATGCTGTGGCTTTCCTCACTCCAGCGCCCTCCCTCTCAGGATGAGAGGTTAGCAGCATTGTGCAGTCCTTGCATAAGATGGCCCTGGGAGAGCTGTGCAACTCCTTGCTGGAGAATGCAGTGGGGATGCTGGATGTCTTCGTCTGGGTCGCTCCTGGGTGTCGGTGCAGCCCTGTGCAGCAGAGTCGGGCTGGGTTAGCTGGGTGGACGTGGAAAGGATTTATAGGAATTACCAGCACTTAGATGAAGCGGGCTGTTCTGTGCAGTTTTTTTGCAGGATTTATTGTGTCAAAAATATATGATTCCCCTTTTTTATTCACAAGCAACCTAGTGTCAGCTTTGCAGACAAAGGTCTCGCTGGGATATCTCCCCTTGGTTCATGTTCTGACCAGCTGTAGCCATAAATCTCTGGCACAGCCATAGCTGCTGGGGGGCAGAGATGCGGGAGGTGAGGATCAGAGCAGTGCTGAGGCTGCAGCGATGACCGAGGGTTGTGTGCTCACCACACTACACCTGGTACAAAGCTGTGCTCGTCTCTCTCCTCTGCAAGCACCTCATTTATCTTCTTTTCCTTCCCCCCTGTCTGAGCAGGAAGACAGCATTGCTGTGAATGCTGTGGATGGCTGCAGGATGAGAAGCCGTCCCTCTGCGGGGTGTTTGTCACTTCTCTCCTCTCTTCCCTTTCAGCTGCCCAGTTGGATAATATCGGCTTCAGCATAATCAAGAAATGCATACACGCTGTTGAAACGAGAGGTAGAGCGCTTCACCAGATGGTCTGGTTTGGGGGAAGGCGTTGCATCTGCTCACAGCGCAGCGATTGCTTACCTGCTCTTCTCATGAACGCGGATGATTTGTTAACCCTGTGAATCCCACGTCAGATAACCGCTGTGATGTGCTCACACACACCGTGCTGAGATGTGCTGCCGGGTGGCCTGGGTTGGCAGTGGGATCGGGGATGGGGCTGAGCCAGGAGGTGCAGCACAGAGCTACAGGCTGCGCCACAGCATGCCCCCCTGCAGTGATAACAAAGCATTTCCTCTCGTATGGCTGACAAACAGATATGAATTTCAGCCCTTCTCCATGCAGAATGTGGAAAAGGCTCAGACCTAAGCCTGAAGAACTTGGCCCAGTGAAATTTTTCTCAAATTGCCTTTCTGATGTACGTTGTGTGCAGATCCTTCATGGTGTGGCCATGCTCCCTCACTGCTAGTGCTGTGTGGTGGCCTTGGATTTTTGATTCTTGAGCTAACTGGGGTCATTACTTTTAATCAACACGTGAAAGCCCTGAAATCAAAACCAATTTTTACCCTCTTCTATAATTCTGTATGCAGTCAGTGGGAGTATTTAATTATTGCTGTTGGAGGGCCCAGAGAAATGAAATAAATATTAATAGCTCTTTTGACATCCTCCTAATAAACTCTTTATTTTTTCCAGGGATCAATGAGCAAGGACTCTACAGAATTGTTGGAGTAAACTCTAGAGTTCAAAAGCTGTTGAGTATATTAATGGGTGAGTAGCTTATATTTTGTTATGGGCAAGTGGGCTGTGCTGCTTCGAAGTCCAAGAAACCAAGAACGGAGGCTCCTGTCTGGGTACCTAATCGTGGTGACTGTGCCCTTAGGACCACATGCTGTTAGAGGCCCGGAGGTCCCAGGGCACTACTGGCAGGTTATGGAGGTAGGACTTGTGGAGAGCATTGCTCTGACAAGTTTTCTGTTGTGGTCACTGATGTCCTACTCACATGCGCTACAAATTTTGGCATCCTTCCCAAATGCAAACTAAAATCTTAGAAGAAAGAGCTGAAAGCTTTGGTTTTTAATCTCATAGCTCCCGCAGCGTTCCCAGAATACTTTTTAATTATTTTCTTGCATGCTGCATGCTGCCTGTGGCTCTGACTTTCTCCTTGGACCTTCCTGTGCCTGTTTTAACATAGTTTTGCTCAGAGCTTTCAAGCATGCGTTTTCTCATGCCTGAGACGTTGGGTCCCACAGCTGTGGGTGCTCGGGAGCGGAGGAGCTGTCAGGTCACACCGTGGCAGAGCCTGGTGCTGACAGCATGGCCTTGGTGTGCAGCCATGGAGCTGCTGCCCAGCAGCCCTCAGAACCCCTACGCATTTCTCCTTGCAAAAAGTTTGAGGCCGTTGCGTTCCATTCTGAACGTCTTCCCTCCTTTCATCCCCATTCCTCCTTCTTTTCCCACCACTGAAGTGCTCTGTGAGCAAAGCCCCTGGTGGCTGTTGCCGATGTCAGCACTAACCTCCTCAAAACTGGTAATCCAGAGAGACTATTAGGAAGCAGAAGGGTAAGGCTCTGAATCACAGCCCTCAGCTCTCTCCTGACGCAAGGGGACACGTCTGCATCACTTATGCTCTGGCATTTGGAAAGTTCGCCGCAGTCACAAGAGCTAGTGACTGCCTGTTTTTCTTTTATTAGTAGAAGTTTGGCATAGGCTCTGGAGCATGTGAGTACGTCCTGCTGGCCACGCAGATAAGCCAGCTCTGTCTCATGGTGCACACATTTGGCACCATTGCGTTAGAGCATCAGCTGAAGAGCATTGCTGCCCACTGATAAAAATAGGCCAGGGCCTGGGTGCCGTGCAGCATGGCAGCTCTGCTGTGCCAGGTCCTGTGCCTGTGGCTTCTGAAGCAGTGTGCATCATCTCGAGAACTGCAAGGTGACTGAACCTGCTCTGTTCTCCCATGGCCGAGCTTCATTGCATCGGCCTCACGGTTGCATCAGTTCTGATTAGAGGCTCTGAGGCTGTGACAGATGGCAAAACTTGCTTGTTTAAAGAGCTCTTTGGAGCTGGGAGGGATTCAAAGTTTTGGACCCCATCCAGCATCCATTATCTTCTCAGTGACCGAAGCCACTGAGCTGTTGACCTCGTGTCTCATAACGTGGTGATGTGCAGTCAGTGTTTTCTCTTTGCTGTGGCGTGTCTTCATTAGCTGTCGGCACTGGGAGGCCGAGGAGAGGTGGCTGTGTGCTCAGTGAGCGCCTGCTGGCTGTTGGCAGCTTCCTCCCCTGAGGGCCCCCCATCACCAGGGCTCTCTGCACACCCATCTCCCCACCTTTCTCTCAATCACCAATGGCTAAACCGTCCTTATGTGGAGCTGGCCTTTGAACTGTCTGCAAGGAAAGTGTTGAATTGTCAAAGCCTCTTTTGTTCCGTGTTGTCCCTCCTGTTTGGTGTCCTGAAGGTAGCAGCACCGCTCAGCTCAAAAGTTTGTGTTTGCATCCAACCCTCGTGAAAAGCAAAGCCAGATTTTGCTTGCGACTCCAGATTCCCCTTATATTTAGAAATGAATGTGGGCAGCTTCAGTGATTCACACGCAGTTTAAATGGCAAAAAGATTGAATTTCAGCGTGCGGCGGCTGATGTAAGTGACACTGCTGGGAGGGCCCTGGCTGCTTTGCAGAGGCCATGGCCGTGCTGTGCTGCAGTGCTCTGGGGTCAGGGGTGACACAGCCGGGCTTGGGCAGAGCCCCTGGCCTCATAGGAGCTCGGAGTGGAGCGGGCAGCGTGTGTGGAGGCTTGTGGGGGCAGCTCAGCTCTGGGAGGGTCAGCTGCCTTTCTTCAGCCTTCCCCATATTGCTGAAATGGGGACAAAACCCAGCCAACAGAGCTCTGTCACTTGGAGCCCTGGTGGAAGGGCATACTGCTGAGGGCGCTGATGCTGTAGCAGCTCTGAGCTGAGGGGGTGGGCTGGGCTTGTCTCTGCTGCACAGGCTGGGGGGCGAGGTGTCCTCCAGGTTGTAGGTGCTGTCACCTAATGTCTTATGGCTGTTCTGGAAGTCTCTCCAGCCACCCAAGGGTGGGTGGGAATTATGGCTGGGTGATGAGCTTGTGCTCCAGGCAGTTCCTCTCATCGTGCAGAAATTGGTGTGGAATTGAAACCATCTGTCTTATGGCAGCAGCTTTCTCCGTCCCCAGGAAATAGATGGAGAAGTTCTGTGAGAATGGGCTTTGGGCAGGGGCAGCAGGAGGCTGCTGTGCTGGGCTGCGGCTGTCTGCCCAGTGTGGGCTCCTGCTGCCAGCCCATGTCCTGCCCCCAGCACCTGTATGGTCACCTGCAGTGCAAAGACACTACTGGAAAACAAAAGACAAAAACAGACAACGTGTTCTATTTTCTGTATGATTTAGATCTGGAGATGTGCCGCTTCCTTTTCTTTCTTCACGTACCCACACGTGAGGCTTTAAGTAATGAATTCCTTTGCAGCCCGTAGAGAGCAGGACAGGCATCCTGTGTGGCATTTGTAACCGTGCACAACGAGCTCCCACCACAAGTGGGAAGTGATGCTGGAGTGTCGTGGCGTGAGCAAAATGCTTCCTTCTGCATCTGCTAAGAGACAGCAGAGCAGTAATGACAGCAGTGGGGAATTCAGGGTTAACACTGCACTGAGCTTGCTGGATGCTTTTATGGGCGCTATTTCACATTTACTCCGGTTCGTATGGAAGTTTGCCCTTGTGAGCAAACTGCATCCATCATTTAGGTGGCAGACAGATGCTGCCTCTGTAATGCACTGCCATAGCTGTGTGCGGGCCGGTGAGCGTGAAGGTCAGGGAGAGCTGCTTATCAGCACAGAGTCTTTGCATGTGAGCAGCCATATGACATCACCTGCTGTTCCATGAACCGTATTTAACAGCTCCTGGATGACCTTTCGAAAAGACGTCTGGTTGGGAGCTGTTGGCTCAGCTCCACCAAAGGCCTTGCCATTAAAAAGATGGTTTTCGGTTTGTTTTTAGGTTTTTGTTTGCCTTTTTCTTGTGGGGGCTTATCTTTAATCTGTTAGAATTGCCTCCTTAGGAAGGTCATGCAGTGGGAAGTTGCCTTGGCATCGAGAGGGAAGGATGGCGTTCAGTTGTGATTAATGCGAGGCACGTGATGCGGGTGTGAATGTACGTTTCTCCAATGGTTACTGTTTCAGGAGTTCCTCTTTCTGTAAGTTAAACTGAGGGAAACTCTGTAACTCCTATTCAGTGCGTTATTTTCATTCATTTTAAAATTCCACTATATTTACCCATTCCTTTAAAATTCAAGAGCACGTCTTGTGTGTCTGTGAGGTGAAGGTACTGCAGAGCTGCCTATGGCACCTCGTGGTGTCGGCAGCTGCACCCAGCAGCAGTGCCTGGCCGTGGGGCTCAGCCTGCAGGCAGGATGTGGTCCTGTGTTGCCGGAGGGTCCCACTGCTGTTTCTCCTGAGCTCTGGAGGGGTTTCCCACGGTTTCACTGAGGTCAGAGCGTGGCTGAGTCCTGCTGCTGCCTCCTGCCCAGCAGTGCCTGGTGCATCCCTCACTGCCGCTGTGCAGGGTTGTGCTCTTTGCTCTCTGTACTCTGAGCCTTTAAGTGTTGGTGTGAGATGCCCGTGGCCAGGCTGGTTCGTGCTGATGTGCTGGTGGTTTCTAAGCTGCCTGTTTCTAATTGATAGCAAAGAGTCGGGAGCGGTGTCACCCACTTTGTTTATGGCACGTGGTCGCGGAGCGTGGCCAGTGCAGGTCCTGCTGTGCGACTGGTGCTGTGCGTGGCTGCAGTGCTGGGGCTGGGAGCCTCAGCCCTGTCGGAGCTGTGATTTTTCTGCTGAGTCCTGCAGGGATCTGTGGTTGTCTTCTCCTGGGTCGTGTCTGTGCACTGCCATCACCCCTGTCATCAACTGCCGCGCTCCCCTGCACCCTGTTTAGTGCTGTGCTTTGAGTCCAGCTGCCAGGATCGTTGCTCATGACTGATGTTTTTCTTTTCTGCCCTGTTTTTTTTGTCCCGTGCAAGTGAGCATGTCCTGTGTCTGGTGATGAAGTCGGCTTCCCTGAGAAGCGCCTGCTGGGGAGCAGCTTGTGGTCTCTGGGGTTTGGAAGAGCAATGAGAATGGGACGTGATGAGCGTCCGTGCAGCTGGCTGTGCGCTGTCGGTGCTGAGTGGTACGAGCTGGGATTGTCTGCACTTGGGTTCACTTGTTTACTTTTCTTCTGTTTTCCTTAGATCCAAAAACTGCCACTGAAACCGAAACTGAGATCTGTGCAGAATGGGAGATAAAGACCATCACCAGTGCCCTGAAAACATACCTGAGGTAAGGGAAGCGAGGCTGGTCTGTCATGCAGCTTCAGGACCAGTTCCATGATGATCAGAGGCTTTACTGCCTATTATTTAACAAAAGCATTTATAAACAAAGAAACTGCCCTTAGAGAATTCATTCTTTTTCCTTGACCCTCTGGCATGCTTGAGTAGGATGGGGGGAATATTCTCAGCTTTCTGATAAGAGCATATATTGCATGAATGTAACAACAGGGCTCCTTCTCGCATGCCCTGCTCTGGTGTAGGCTTTTCTCTGAGCCTTTCACTGCGGGCTTCAGCCTGAGGAGTGCGTGGAGAAGGTGAGCACAGTGCTCCTGTCAGGGCCGTGGCAGTTGTTGCAGTCCCTTCTCAGAACTGGGTGCTAAGCTTTATGTAAGTAATAATTTCCATATGAAAGCTGATGCTGTTATCATGTGCGTTATCTTCCAGAAATGTTAGTTTCTTGGCAGCAGTCAGTATCTCATTCTCAACAACGTGCTTCTACCTGTTGTGACTGCAGGTTTTTGCTTTGTGTTGTCCTTCTGTGTTGGGTTGTTGTTTTTTTTTTTGAGAGGCAGAGAGCAAGAGAGAAGCTAAATCCAATTAGAGCGATGAGTGTCATTAGCTGGGTGGATCTCAGCCTAGAAAATCACAAAACACTGCATAATTTTGTATGATTGGCAACCTTTGTTCCAGAGCTTGAATTGTTTGCAAGGCAACAAGGAATGTCAGCAGCTCCAAGATGTCCCACTGAAGGGATGTGGAAGTGGGAGGGAGAATGGGAAGTGTAATGGGAACAGTGACTGTTAAAGTTTTATGACTGGGCTCGTTTCTCTTTTTAATTTATTTTTAAACTTACTCAGAAATCACAGACTCACTGAGGTACAAAAGCTTTGTTTTACTGTGGTACTGAAGGAATGTCAAAATTAAAAATGAATTTAGTATGGTACAAAAAAAGAGAGGAGGAATAAACTGAAGGTGCTTCAATAAGTCTTGCGCCTTCTGATGAGAGGAATCAATTGGAGTTGTTACCGCTTCGTTCTGCTCTCAAAAAACAGAGCTGAATTTATGGAGATTGCAGAGCTTTATTTCTGCAGTTCTGTGGATGGTGTTACTCACTTGTGCTGTGTGTGATACCTTTTTATCTTCCAGAATGCTTCCAGGGCCGCTCATGATGTACCAGTTTCAAAGGAGCTTCATCAAAGCAGCAAGTGAGTTTGTTGATGTTTACAGCACGGGGCCAGAAAAGGAACAGGACTTGCAAGCAGCTGAGCATAACCTCTACCCTGCTGCTCTCCCACTGATCTTAAATCTTGGAGAACAGAGCAAGAATTGAGATACAAGGGGCAGGGTGCCGTGTGGGACTTTCTGGATAAACAGAAAGCACGTGGTCATGTTTAGAGGAGGGCTGTCTGATGGCAGCAGCTGGTGGTGCAGGTATTTCTTCTTCTGACCATCAACCTCCAAAACCAGCGAGGCTGTTGTTTGAGCACACCTACACCGTTCTGATTTTATCAGTTGCGGTTCCAGCATCTGAGCTCCTTTCCTTTGTCTGCCCTGGGAGCATGCTTTGTGTGGGAGCAGGTGGCGGTCAGAGCTGTGTGCTGCAGGGAGGGCTCACGTCGGTGGTCACATCGGCAGTGGCCTCCTGGGAAGGGATGGCGGCAGGGGCTGCTCGCATGGCTCCTGCTCGGGCTCTGGGGCAGCCCCAAGACTGCAGGCTGCCACTTCCCAGGCGCTGTGCTGAGCGCACGCTGTGCTCAGAAGCGCGTTGGATGGGATCGTGCTGCTGCTTCCCATTGTTGAAGTCAGAGGAACGCTCCGGTTACGGCCAGCCCGTTCCCTGATCGCAGCTGACTTTTTGTGTGGCTGGCATCTGCTCTCAGCCTGTTGTCCCAGCCCATTGGTTTCTTACTTTTTCAAACAACTGATTGGAGCTGGTAAAGAGAAGAACTGCTGTGGAGGATACCTGCAGTGTGCCTGGTGTAGGTTAGAGGTAGGGGTTGGGAGCCTTGGGTCCCTGGGATGTCTGTGTGGGTTACTGTTTGGGCCCGCGTGCCCTTTTCTATAATAAACCCATGATGCAGAGATGAATCATCTTTTATTTCCAACACAGAACTGGAGAATCAGGAATCCAGGGTGTCAGAGATCCACAGCCTTGTTCATCGGCTCCCGGAGAAAAACAGGCAGATGCTGCACTTGCTCATGAACCACTTGGCAAAGTACGTATATGACTGATATGTTTTTCTCTCCATTTTCCACTTCCTTTGAAAGTTAACAGTGATAAAAAAAAGTTTCCTTGTGTTTGTGGTGTTGAGTCATATCTGGTTGACGACCAAGTGGAAACCTGTGTGTGAGTGAGATGGGAGAGCAGGGCAGCCCAGTGCCATCCTGCAGCGGTGTGGCAGCGCTGTGTTGGCTGCAGGTAGAGCCAGGTTAAGATCTTTGCGGGGGTTCAGACCAAGCCTGGGATTAAAGGACTGACAGATATTTCTTTGCAACAATAGGAGACTATTCTGAGGCATATTTTCTGCCTTAAAGCTACTTAATTCATTAATACTCCTAGGTTACCTTGAAACTTTTCAAGGGCAAAGGAACTGGATGATTTTTTTGCCTTCAGTGATAGAGCTGACCTGTAATTTCCCATCTTCCTGCTCCTGCTGTTTGCCATGGAAACCTTTGATTAGTGCTTAGGAAGTGAAAGCATCACAAGGTGTTTGTGCCAGCCCAAAGGCTGCTGGGTCGCTGGGTGAGCAGAGGGACTGGGCAGGACCCACAGACCTGAGCCTTTCAGAAGAAAATCTGGGAAAACCCAAAGTTATCTATTTTGGAGAAAAAATAATAAACGGTACTTGAAATGTGCTTAAAAACGACTCCAGATGCTTTCTGATGACATGAGTTTGTATCTGTTCCATGGACTCTCCCCAGCAAGGCTGTTAAAAACTAAAGGGCTTGTTTAGATCTCAGTTTCAAAACCTTCTGCATTTATGGGCTGCAACCAAGGGAAAGGCAGTTCCAGGTACTCCCATCCGCCAAGTATGTGCAAGGAGTCGCATAGCTGCTGAAGTGCTTTTCATTTAAAGGGAAACCCTGTGGTATTTGAGTGTGAGATGCGGAGCTGGGGAGGCAGGTAATACAATGGGCTTCAAGCTGTTTTAACGAGGAAGGAACTAAAACAAAACACAGACAATGAGTGCTAGTGGTGCTTGCTATATTAGGAGGAGAAACAGCTTACAGTGTTCAGTGGGAAAAAAATGATCTTGGAGAAAGGCAGGAAGCTGTGGGGATCAGAGCCTGTTCTGTTCCAGCAGCGCTGAGGCTGACCACAACAGCAAGCTTGAGGCGCTCCTGGTGTATGTGTGATGGAGGAAGGGCCGTTGTGTGAGGTGGCATGGGATGTCCCTGGGGGCAGAGCAGACAGATTCCACAGCCAGGTGCTGCTCCAGAGGGACAGGGCTGTGGACAGGGAGGATGACACCGGCCCCAGTCCTGCTCCTCTCCTCCTGCCCCACGGCGTCCCACTGGGTTTGGGGTCCCTGCAGGTGAGCCAGGCGGGGGGCTTGCAGGCGGTGTGAGGTGTGGGTGAAGTTTTGCATCTGCAGCAAATGGTTGCAGGGAGGCAGAGAGCAGAAGGAGGGGTGTCCTGCAGGGGGGGTTGGGTGCTCTGGGTGGGCTGATGCGAGGGGCAGCCAGCAGTGCTGTCAGAGCAGGCCAGGCAGGGCCCTGCTGCAGCTCTCGGAGGAGATTGTCTCATCTTCTTCCTCTTTTTTTAAGTAACATACGAATAATCAAGATTTGCATTTCTATCAGATGAGCTAACAAATATTTCTCAGAGTATTGATGTGGAGATCTCTTACACTAAAAAAAGAACCCACTGTGGGTCACACAGAGGTGTTCTGTGCCGTGTTTTGTTTGCATGTTTTGCTGTTGCTTACTGAAAAGGGAAACCAGGCTGCTTGTTTGGCACTGCTTGCAGTGGTAAGAGAGCCCTGCTCACACAGCCCATGCAAATAGCAATTATTATACAACTGAAACCTGAGCCAGGATAAGCACTGCTGAAGTGGTGGAGTTGGGCCCTTCTCGCTTCCACACCTCTTTGTGCTGCCTGTGAGCAGGGGCTGCATCCCCTGAAACATGAATTGAGCTGGGATTGTCAGTGCTCCTTCGTCTGTGCCCAGAGCTGCCTGTGTCCTCCTCTGCTCTGCAGACACCATTTCCAGGGAAATTTGCCATTATTATGTTAATCTCTGACCTGTGAATCGATGAAACCTTTAATTTTCTTTTCTGGGACATGCTCACATTGCTGGGACCTTTGTGATAAACCCAGCTGAATTATTGTTCCTGAAAGATCAAGACCAGTTTGATCTGGTGTTTTCTCAGGAGGATCTGTGCTGAAAAGCCCGACCTTGTGCCCAGGAGACTTCTAAGGATGCTCCAGGAACGTCACTTCCAAATGCTGCTTTACTGACAGCATGCAGCAGCTCTGGTGAAGCCTGTCGTTCCCTGGCCTGTCAGCTGAGTTGGCACAGGCTGCTGTGAGCTCAGGGGCGGCCATGCTGGAAGCTGGAGCTGATTGAGAAAATTTCTGGTTGTGTTAGCAGAGTTACAGTGCCATCCCCATCGTTCTGCTCTCCTTTAGTGTGCTTTGTAGGTGCAAAGCAGGAGGTTTTAGAGCCTATTTTTGTGCATTTTTTCACAGCTGGACTGGTGCTCGCTGCAGTAGGCAGGGCTGTGTGGCAACCCTATGCTATGCCCACCTTGGGCTGCTGCCCACTGCATGGCATGGCTGCTGGTGCCAGCCTGTGGGGCAAAGCTGCCTCTGCTCGGGGCATGCACACCTCTCCTTGCAAAAGGTCAAAGCAGTTATTGGGGTTGCAGCAGAAATGCGTGTACGTGTGTTTAGCAAAATTAATTATCTTTAATCATTCACAGCTGTGGCCTGGCCAGCAGTGACTCGTTCCCTCTGTTTTTGCTGTGGCGGTGTTTTCTAGTTCACGTGTTTTACCGCCGTGGCACTGATTGCCATCTCCCGCCCAAAGCGTTTCCCACGTATCGGCAGCGATGGTTCCCATGGCAGATCCAGCAGTAGCAGCAGGATGGGGCTCTGCCCGACCGAGTGCTGTTGGCAAAGGAGAGGGAGAAGGAATCTGCTGGGCTCTTGTGCCCAGAAGTGCAGCCTGGTGCTTGGCGTGGCGGCTCAGAGCTGAGCTGGCCATGCTGGCTCTCCGTGGCGCTCAGTGCCTGGCAGCACTGGGATGCACAGCGCAGCACTGGGGCGGCCGCTTCCTGCGCTTTTCCTCCGGTTGTTTTCCCCGTCTTCCCCCGAAGGTGCAGCAGCGATGCGGCTGACGCCTCTTGGCACGGCAGGTCTGATTTCATCCCCGTGGCAGCTGTTTATGTTGCTGTCTGGTAACTATTCATTTGCTTGATTTATGTATTACTTCCAGTAAGTCATTCTTGTCCAGGACGTTCTGGAAATTTCCACTAGCCTCTGAGGCCTTTAAGATACGCTTCTCTTGTATGTTCTTGGCCTGATTTGGCTGCCAAAAGAAAACAGCGAGCGAGATCTCTTGACCTTGCATGGAAAGTGTAAGCAGCGTTCCTCCCTCGCCGCTCTCCCTCTTCCTCGCTATGGGAATGGCGCCCGTGCTCCGCCAGCCCCGCCACGACTCGGCTTCTGCATGGGGAGCTGAGTGCATGTGGGGCGTTGTGGTGATGCACGGCATCTGGGTGCTCACTGGAGTGGCAGAGGGCAGTGTTTGATGGAAGGAAGGTGGAAGGTCTGTGTCTGGCCTGTGCAATAGAGATGGACCTCGCACGCTTTCTTGCTGCCGCCCTGTTTCTGTTTTTCTGCCATTTTCATGCTGGGGTGAGCTGGGTGTGGGTGCACGCACTGCCTGTGTGTGCCCTACAATAGAATCACAGCTTGGAAAACAGCTCTCACATCCCCAGCCTGGCCCGCCGTGCCCACTGACCGTGTCCCCAAGTGCCACATCTCCATGGTGCTTGGACACCTCCAGGGGTGGTGACTCGACCACCCCCTGGGCAGCTGTGCCAGTGCTGTTGGAGTGAAACAGTGCACTGAGGAAGGAAGGAAGGAAGTGAATTTAGACTGATCACGATTATTAAAAAAATAATAATAAAAATGTAGCAGCAAAAAAAAATAGTTGGCAAGAGTGCCAGGAGCTGATGAAAGTGGTACAGGAGCCAAAGCAGCGGGCACAGGCTGAAACGTGGGAAATTCCATCTGAATGTCAGAAAAAAGCCTTTTCATTCGGAAGGGGGCAATCGCTGGGTGCCAGGGGGCTGCGGAGCCTCTGTGCTGGGAGATATGGGATGTGGTCTCAGGTGTCCCTGCTGGGCTGGGGCTGGAGCTGGTGGGGTCCTGTGTGTGGAGCTGTGCTCCTCTGCTTCCTTTGTGCTGTGGGGTAACGGGTTGTGTTCCTCTTCCCTGGCTTTAAAAACACAGCTTTGAGCTGTGTTAACTATTTCAAATTGTCTTCTGGAGCCGAGCCCGCAAAGATCAATAAGAATCCCTTTTGCTGTAGTGCTTTGACATTATTAGCAAGTATAGCCAGTTGTCTGTTCGTGTTTTGTTGCTGAGTCGGGAGGGGGGGAAATCCCAACCCAGCCCAGCAGCGCTTGAGCTGCCTGCAAAGGGCAGGATTGGGGCTGGCAGGCTGCAGGAACCGCTGTGTGCAGCGCCGTGCCCCCAGCAGTGCAGGGCTGTGCAGAGCTGGGGTTTGTAGTGCTGGAGACGGCGGTGGTGGGGAGATGGCTCAGCAGATTAGTCTGAAATCGTAGCGCGACCGTGCTGCATGGCTAATCTAATTACAGCAGCTAACTGGAACCACCTGTAGCTGCGTGGAAAGACAAAGGCTGCGGAGGGCCCTGCTCCCCTCGCAGCGCCTCTGGCGGGGCTCTGCTGGCGCTGGGCTCCGCCAGGCTCACACGCATCTGAAGCATTAATGAAATCTGCATGTTTTTACCGTAATGGCTTCGTTTCCCCTGTTCACTTCATTTTTGTGTTAGGCTCCTGGAGATACGATTAGCTTTAATGTAGTTTGTTAGAGATGTAGTTTTCTAAATAGGACAGATCTGGGGGGTGGAAACTCCGGGATTGCGGGGTGCTGGCCGAGGTGCAGTGTGGGCACTGAAGGCAGCAGACGTGCCGTGGAAATGCGGCAAGTGTGAGCTGCAGATCTCGAATGGAATGTGTCTG